GCAACTTGACGTCTTGCATAGTTGTTCTTCTCACGGAAAATTTTATGATCATCAACAGACTTTGATTTTTGCCATTGCTTGTATGCAACTTTCTTTTCAGCTATTGCATTTTGTACACTGTCATTCCACCACCAAGTGTCACGTTCATGCTGACGTTTTGAACCAGTTTTCCCACAAACTGTAGTTGCAGCGTTCATTAAAACGGTTTTGTATGTACTCCAATCTGTACTGGCTTGCGATTGGTGGTCTAACTGTGTGGCGACAATCTGCTGAAATTTTTCTCGATGAATATTGCTTTTCAGCTTCCACGTTTTGATTCTCCGAGGCATTTGTTTAGACTTATGTTTTGACAGTTCGACAACCAAGTCTGCCACAAGGAGTCTATGTTGGGCGACACATGATTCACCAGGTATAACTTTGACGTTTTTGAATAGCCTTCGATGTTGTTGCTTGACAGCGAAGAAATCAATTTGCGTGGCTGATGGTCCACTTTTGTATGTTATGAGATGTTCTGACCTCTTTCTAAAATATGTGTTCAGTAAACAAAATCTGTGACTTTCAGCAAACTCAAGAATGCGGTTGCCACCTTCATTCCGTTTTCCATAGCCAAAACCGCCATGTACGTTGTCAAAACTATCTGTTTTCTCTCCAACGTGGCCATTGAGATCGCCTCCAATCAGGATTGTTTCAGATTTTGGTATTGTTGAGATGGTGTCAGAGAACGCAGTCCAGAAGTCATTTTTCATCTCTTCTGATTCGCCTGTCTGTGGTGCGTATGCAGAAAAAATAATCAATGTTTGCTTTTCTATGCGAAGCTTGATCCACATGAGACGTGAACTAATCCTTTTAATATCCAGTACTTCTTGGGCTAGCGGTTCTCTGACAAATATTCCAACACCATTTTTGGCAGTCTTTTGACCATTCCAGAATAGTTTATATTTTTTTTTTGTCTGAGTTGACATGACAGACACCATTCGATTTCCATCGGGTTCCCTGAAGGCAGCAGATGTCAATCCTTCTACGCTCGAGCATTTCTGCGATTTCCATGATGCGGCCAGTCAGTGATCCAACATTGAGCGTTCCAAGTCTAAGTACCATAGAGGGGCCATTCTGAATTTTTCTGCAACATCCCTCCGCTATTGCATACTTCCCAGGGATTCTTGGCACCCCTTGACCACTTAAGGCCTGCTGGGGACTAGGGGCCGTTGTTTTTTTTTGTGATGGCATAAGAATAATTTGGGGAAAAGTTTTTACATCCGGACACCCATCCTGACGACAGCCTCCAGTTATAAGCGGTGGGCCTAGCCTTTTGCTCAAAAGCACGCAAGGCAGCGTGGATGCAGTTTTATGTCATACCCAGGACCAAAATGTAAAAATGTAATGAGGTAATTCAATAATATTTTGAGCAAATAAAAACAGCATTGAATTGACTAATAAAATTGAATGAAAAATTTAATCGCAAAAAATATGCAAAAAATGAAATGAAATAATATTTTTAACTAAAATTTCTGACCATTGAATAAAAAATCGTGAAATGTATAATTACATTCTATTTGAACTCAGTAACATTTTAGGTTCTCTTGAAGTTTTCTGCCTAGTGAACAAATGAAATTAGAAGTTCTTCACAACAGACTTGTCTTTAGACATCAGACGTACTGATTAATTTTTCTAACATGACTGACTATTTACTATTTGTGGAATTTTTGGTTGAATAATTTTTAAGTAAAGGCTGAAACCATTTTAAATCTAAATTTATTTAAAGATTTGGTTAAATTAAGCCTAACCCCAACTAAATTATCTATTGTGAAGGCTTAAGACCCACGGTAGCTCCTATGGTCACATAGTAACGGAACAAGAAGAAAGTTTCAAATTTTTTTAATAAGATTATTTGCCTGATTGAATACTAAAAGAAGCGTACTTTAAACAGGAATCAACAAATTTTTAAAGTTCGACTGAATTAATTTATAATTAGTTATTGAAATTTTAAAAATTTACACAGTTTTTTTAATTTTTAAATATCTTTACAAAATTTTTCAGTTTTTAAAATAAAAATATGCCGTCCGTAGTAACTTACAACTAGTTTCGTATATCTTCAAAATTCATTAGCGCGAATTTTTAAAAGAAAGTTTACCGTTCAGGTGTGTTACCTTGCCTCGGGTGACATTTTACAATTTCATCAGCCACCAGCGTCATGTTAAATAATTATTTATTTTTATTCAAAATTTTATTTAAAATGTTTGGGTTTTGTTCGTAACATTCTTGTAACGTGTCAAAATTGTGTTTGTTTATTTAGATAGAGAGTTAAATTCAGTTAATTCTCTTAAAATAACTAGCCAGTGCAAATAAAGACCTATTATCCAAATTATTATATTATAGAGATAATATGGTGTTTTTGTAACTGGATTTTGTTAGGAGCTTACAAATATTTCAGATTTTTATGGGAATAAAAGTTTATGAATCTTTGTTCATTATCGACAAGACGCACAGACACACTTTAGTTAGAGTCTTTACATGATGACTGGCCGCGGTGCATAATTTTCAAAACACCTTCACTCATTGATTATTATTAATTGTTGTTTTAGTTTGTTATAAAATAAATGTTGTGGAGATTTTTTATTAAAACAGGATATGAGTTGGTGGTTGTAGGAAGATGTTGGGAGTGAATCTTTTTTGACTTATGTGAGGTTTCAGTTTACTGCACAATCTGTAACATGTGAGGCTTCAGTTTACTACGCAGCTGAAAGTGGCAGCTGATTGAACTTATCATTTCAATGCATGGTTTTATAGAGTTTACGGTGCACTCATCCATCTATTTATTTACTTTGATTCATATAATTTTCTAACATCTTTTAACAACTCTTTAAAATATTATTCTTATTATGATTAATGTAATTTGTAAATCCTTTAATGTGAAATTGTTATCCAAACGTGTGACGTTGTGTTATATTATTTTATGTCACGTTATGTTATTTAATGTTATGTTATGTTATAAGCACTTTAAAATGTTGTTATGCTATGGTAACTGTTGAGGCATTTTAGAATGTAATACTTTGGAGCAAACTATGCAAAACGTGATCAAGCAGTTCATTGAATTAAAAAAAATGATTAATAAATTCAAGTAGGCATGAAAAACAACTTGAAAAGTTGATCAATTCAAAGTATTTCGATTTCTCGAGAGTGTTATGGTTTAAAAGCAGCAAGCACAATAATAATAATAAATTGTTTTGTTTTCATTCTTCATTTGAGAACCAATTGAAATAAAAATTATTTTGACTTTTTCATAAAAATAAGGTCACTTTTATGCGTGCTTGCGAGATCATTCTTTGGTATAATATATGCAGATCGCATTAAGTGCTGAATTCTCAACCAGGCCCTTCAAAACATGCTGGCATCCATTCGTGCGCTATAAAACGAGTAACTTCGCATCGGCATTCAGTTGTCTGCTGCAGTCAACTTTGTGGTCTGTCGTTTTAGGAGACTCTCCCTGCGGTGAGTTCCAACTCTACGTTTTTCAACTATATTTTTCTTTTCATTAGTGTTGACCGTTTAAAAGCTATTTGTTATAAACATGATTTAGTAATAATGAAGCTTGATGATGCGTTTTAAAACAAAAAAGCTATTTTTATTAACTTTGAAATTTCAAAGGTCTGAAAACATGGCTCTAAAGTATCAGTTCTGCGTGCTGTTGATGATCTTCCTCGGCATATCGTCGGCAGCATCTGTCATACCGTTAGTTTGCTACTTCGAGAAATTTTGATTTTTCAATTTAATTAAATTTAACTGGTTCACTAGAAATTGATAACTTTTGTTTATTCTCTTTTAATCCGTTTGAGTTTTATATGTTTAATATTTAAAACTGCAACAAAATGTTTGCAATTCTTTTTTGTATTCCTCATGCTAATGTCAATACATTCATTATTTCTGATGTAGAAATATCAAAATCCTCTACAGCTCTTACACAATCGTCTCTTCCAAAATGATGAAACCTGGCAGTAACTACCAGTTCAGTTTGACGACAACAAACGAGATGACCTTTGAATTTTTACTGGAAGCTTCAATCAAGAAAAGTGATGGATCTGCTTTGGTTCAAAACAAATTTACTTTACAAACAAGTAAGTAGTTCTTAAAAATTGTTTAATTAATAATTGATGAAGTCAACAAATATAATAAAGTTATAAGTGTTGCTCGAAGTTTTAAGCATGTAATGCGTTGAACTGCTGCTTGTTCCGCAAACAATGCTGTACTGACAAGATATATACTTAAACAGGTATTGGGTGGTTTTTTCGCAAAAGTCTTTGGTAGAAAGATTACATGAGCAAATTAATAATTATCAGAGATTCATTGAGATAGAAATTAAATTAAACACATTCTTAAAACAACATTAATTAATTTGTATTGCTAATTTTTCAGACGTTGCAAAATTACTGAACTTGGAAGTAAGCTTATTATTGGCTTCTTTAGTTTTAGAACTTTATATGCGCATACATTCATAAAAATGAATATTTCAGATTCCGGCAATTGTTCCAGAAGACACTTATACGTTTTCAGTGAGTGCATCAGGAGGGATAACTTTCGTCAACAGCAGTCAGCTGTCTGTCAACAGGAAGGTGCACTCGATCTTCATCCAAACAGACAAAGTCCTGTACAAACCTGGACAGACAAGTTAGTTTAAGACATAACACGACCGTCCTATTATAATCATTCCGTTCCTCAGTTATGTTTGATTATGCTATATGTTTTGAAATTGGTATTAAAACTGTAAAGTTTAAAAATAGATGTCTTTTTTAAACGTTTGACATTATGAGATCAACATTTTTACAAATTTTTTGATGATCAAAAGTTTATTTTTTGTAATTGATAAATGAAAGTTGATAAATAAAATATAATTCCTTGTCACAGTTTTATTTAGAGTGATCTCCATCACTCCCGATTTGAAACCATACACAGATAAAGTCAACATTACAATATATGTTAGTATTCAGTTGAATGCGTGTAGAACAAAGCGTAAAAAATAATTTCAAAAAGTTATCTAGAAACACTTCATGGTAATTAATAATACGTATAATGCGAATATATGATTATAATTGAAAATAACGAATAAAGGTTAAAAATATGTTTAATTACTCAGGATACCGCACTGAACAAGATAAAAAAACTGGTTGATCAGCAAAGTGAAAATGGTATGATAATTTTATTTATTAGCGTTATCTCATGAAACTTATGGCATGTTTGCTTACAACATTCACTTGTAGGTGTAATCACCGATAGTTTGAAATTGTCAGACATCACCTCGTTGGGACAGTGGAAAATACATGCTGAATCGCAGGTTAGATTCTAAAACATTAATCATCCTAATTCATTTATTAATTCTTTTATTCTCTCAATCATTCATTCATTCATTCATTCAATCGTTCATTCATTCAATCATTTTATGTTGTATTTCACACTGAGTATCTATTAGAAATGTTTCAATTTTGTTAAACCAGTTTGCCAGTAAAGAACAGTTCATAAAAGTAGCTGAATACGGTAAAATATTTTTTTCTATTCTATTAATTAACAATTCTAAAAATTTTGTTGAAATAAGTTTGTAAAATTTTTTATGGGTTTGGTAGGCATAAGACAAATTTGCTTTTTCGGTGCGATTAGTTGCTCTTTTCCATTTTAATAATGAGGTTATGTAGGCTAAGTGTTTATTTGAATTCCACGATATTATTTGTAATTACGTCCTACCTCGGGGAACTGGATCTCTGAACGCTAAACGAAGATTGATTGATTGGTATTTGTAATAGATTTTCATTTGATGACCATGACACGTGATGCTGATAATTTGCATGAAAAATTTAAATTGCTAGCAGTAAAATGTTAATTTTCACGAAGGAGGTTGTTACAAATTTGAATTATGTCATGCCTTGCATGGCGGTTAAAAATTTGAATAAAACCGCGAAAAGCTCCTTACTTTTGTACTGCATAAGCAAAAGCGATTTATCATAAACTATCATTTATTTTTCAAATTACATAAACGAAAAGCACACATGCAGCATGTTTATGCATATATGTACAATGTACATGTTTTCAGTGTTGCCCAAATTCGAAGTGAAAGTTGAACTGCCATCTTATTTCCTCATAAATCAAAACAAGCCCTCCCTCCAGGAAAAATTCTCTCTCTCAGTTATTGCCAAGTACGTCAGGCAGCTTCACTCCATTACAATCATTGAAATTTAAATTCAATTGAAAATTTTTAATTTTATATATTAAAAAGTAGAAACTAGAATATAATAATAATACTTTTAATTTTAGATACACCTACGGCCAGCCAGTGAAAGGTACTGCTAAAGTGGAAATTTCGCTGAAAAATTACTACTGGAATGTTAATCAACAACGAAAGCTTACAAAGCTGTTTCATGTTAATTAATCCTTTTATAGTTTATTTAATTTTTAAAAAATTAACCGTTTAAATAAATATTTACAAATTCATGATTTTTTAAGTCCAACTTTTTCTGATTTTAAGTTGATTGATGGAAAAGGAGACCTGTCGTTGACGCTAACTGATTTGAAAGCATTGATGCCAACACAATGGGTAGAAGGCACGTTAAATGGTCAAACTTTGTTTGTGGAAGCCAACGTCACTGAAACTGAAACGGGAATAACTTTGTCAGGGAACAGTACAATCGACTGCAAAAGTCAAAGATTGAAGTTAGAATTTTTAGCGAACTCCCCTGATAATTACAAGCCAGGATTGACCTTTAACGGATATGTAAGTCATAACCTTTAGCGTTTCTGAAAAAATTATGAAAACTTTTTCATGCATTCCAGTTAAGCCTGAAAAATAGTGACGACAGCCCGCCTACATTGAGTGACATTAAAAACAGTGATGGATCATTCAAGACCATTACCATTAAATCTACTACGTATTATTATCACTCCAATATTCACACTAACTACGAAAAAATATTTACGGTTCCTTTAACAGAAAATGGATATGTTATTTTCAACTTTCCCACTTTACTACAATCTGAGAACGTTAATTTTGAAGTTAGTATTGAAGTTCTAATCAATTTAATTATCGATTGCTCACTAAAAAATACACATCAACTAACTTCTTTGATATAAAACTAGGCATCATTTAGAGACGAAGTGACGGACACGACATTAACTGCTTACAAATACGTCAATAAATTTGAAACAAGAGACAAAGGAGGCATTCAAATAACTCTGATAAACACTGAAAATATAATTAAGGTATAATTGATGAACATATTTAACTGTACCTTCACTAGTTTTTTCTGTTTTTTCAGCCATCTACCATTTTGCAATTTCAAGTGAAAACGGTTGATGCGATCAAAGATTTTCAGTTACAAGTTTGTTTAACAATATTTTTGTCTATATGAAAGATTTAATAAAACTTTATTTTAATTTTTCAAGATGTTGGCGAAAGGTCTTATCATAGAATCAAAACAAATGAAATTTCCCAGTCCTCAAAAGGAACACATATTCTCTTTGGAAGTAACAGCCGAACTGGCTATCAAGTTGGCACCAGAAGCCAGATTTGTTGTTTCATATGTCTCACCCACTGGAGAACTGATTGCTGACAGCTTGTCCATTCCTGTGGCTGATTTTTTTGCTAATAAGGTGATAAATTTTATAAAAACCAATAATATCCAATGAAATTTTTTCAACTTTAATAAATTTTAATATTCATTCAAGTTGTGGGATAAATCTAAATTAAAATTTGTTGACATAATATATTAGGTGTCACTGAGTTTCAATAAAGACAAAACAGAACCAGGAGATGACAACGTTTACTTGAACGTGAAGACAAAAGAAAATTCTTTCGTAGGTTTGCTGGCTGTGGATCAATCCGTGATGCTACTGAGTTCCGGAAACGATGTTACACAAGACATGGTTGGTCGTATGCAGTTCAATTCATTAACGGTATGCTCATTCCTAAATATACATGCCAGATAAAATCAGAGCTCTCCGCTTACTCGGAATTAAATTATGATGGAGGTCATTTTGGTGGTCTTGGTCGATTTGGCATTGCGAGATGTTTGGGTTGCTGGAGTCCTTTTTGGCTGGGAGGCAGTGATACTTACTCTGTTATTGATGTAGGTCAATTTTTCATGCATTAACTGTTCTCTATTTTAATCAAAATTAGATGTCAACAAGTTTATAAAATATTGCATAAGATAAGTTACGTAAACGTAAAAAGAATAGACATGAAAATAAAATAAATCGTTTTGAGCGTTTATTATAAATTCATAGTAAGTTACTATAATGGTGACTGCTGTTTTAATAATTTACACAACAGAACGCTGGATTATCAGTTATGTCCAACCTTCATGTGCAAAGAAGTTATCGTCCAATATATTGGGATCGTAAGTTTGTTACGAATGCATTGCTTCAATTATTTAATTACCTGTTCGTTTTGTTTTAAGCTTACAAATTCATATTTACATGGATTTTGTGCTATAAATGTTTTTGTTTTAGAGTAGTATTGTCAAAGAAAGAATTTTATATAATATATTCAAAACAAGACATTTAAACCTGATTTATGATCTTCTACCAAATCCATTGTCTTCTAAATATTCAAAACAACGACCACAATACAAGAACAAAATTAGTGTATGTAGATTGTGTGTAACGTTACTTAAAATAGAGAGAGAGAGGTAATTTCAAGAAACTTCTAATGCAACCACAATTTAACTATTAAGTGATGGTTACCAACAGCAAATTGGCAATTTTGAAACTAACGATGTCTGAAATTATTTTCCTGATTGCTTTCTTGTTATATTATAATGAGTGAGTATATTCTTGTAACTTATTTAGTTATTCTTTATTTCGAAACTTTAAGTTATGAGGTGGAGAGGTTCTGCAGGTGGAAAAATATCAGGCAAGTACATTTTGTTCAGTTTCTTGTAAAAAGAAATGCTTATTTAGCATATGTAAAGCGAATAATAAATTTTAGTAATCATGGTAAATTAATTTTATCAATTTCATAAAGTTATGATGAACGCCGAGACTGTGGCAGTTCCTGGTTAGTGGAAATTATTTGGAGCTACCTTACAAAAGCATGCAATATATTAACAAAACAATTTCATTCTTAAATAGACATTGATGGACCAAGTGTTTCATCAACACCGGCAACTACAACTGTTAGAAAAGATTTTCCAGAGACATGGATTTGGTCGGAAGTGACATCCGAGTAAAAAATTTTTAATTTAATTAAAAAGAATATCGTATATTTTAGTTAATATTTTTCAAACAGTGCAAAAGGAGATTATCAACTGAAAGTAAAAGTTCCAGATACCATCACTTCATGGGTTGCTACAGGATTTTCGGTAAACCAGGAAGCAGGCATTGGGTTGTCAGAAAGTTCCGCCAAAGTAGGAAATAAATTATTTATGGCTGAGAATTATATATTTATTTTAATTTTTTAAACTTTTCAGATAACTGTCATCAAACCATTCTTTATTTCGTTGAACTTGCCGTATTCCATCGTAAGAGGAGAAGAATTTGCCCTTCAAGTCACTGTTTTCAATTATTTTGGTCAAGATTTAGAGGTAGGCAAAGACTTCTCTATTGAAAACATACCACTTTAATAAATAACAATAATGTACATCTTAAAAAATTAATATGTTTTAAACAGGCTCAAGTGAAACTTTTGGCATCAAATTATTTCAAAGTAATAAAATGTGATAATAAAGAACTTCAATCCGTCGAGGTCGTAAAACATTTAAAGGTAATCAAGACGTTTACACCTAAATTATTCAAACATGTAAATTGAAACATGTATATATTTTAGGTTGGAAACAACGATGGTAAGTCAGTGTACTTTTGGGTGGTTGCCACTGCAATCGGTCAAATACCCATTGAAGTCAGTGCTCATGCAGGATTGGCTGCCGATGCCATGAAAGCCACACTGCTCGTTAAGGTGAGTACCTGCTGTAGACTTAAATAAAGTCTCAACAACTGAAAACATTTCAAGTAAAAGTTTAAAACATTTGTTTTAAGCCCGAAGGACAAACTCAGTCATACAGCACATCGCAGTTCATTCAACTGTCATCAGCAAAAGTGTTTGATACTGATTTTAAAGTGGCATTACCATCGAAGGACATTCTCGTTCCTGGATCAGCTGTCATTGAATTCACTGTAATTGGTAACCATGATAAATTGTCCTAATTTTTTATGTATTGCTGAATTTGTACCCCGTGTTGACATTAAAATTTTGTAATTATTACAAATATTGATCAAAAATTATTTTCAAACTTTTAACACGTGTGAACAATTGCAGGTGACATTATTGGTTCTGCTATGAACAACATTGGAGATTTGTTGAAAATGCCTTACGGTTGTGGTGAACAAAATCTTCTTCACTTGGTTCCTGATGTTTATCTTCTCAAATACTTCACTGAAACTGGACGACTAACTCAAGAGTTTGATCAAAAAGCTAAAAATTTTATCAACGATGGTAAGTTTTGAATGAAATATAATACAACTTTTGATGTCTTTAGCATACAAAATTATTCTTATCTTTTATATATAATTGTCCATAATTAAATTTGTTTCTGAAACCTGCAAACTAATGAGTTATATTGATATTGTTGTGATTGAAAGGCTACCAGAGGGAGTTGACATATCAAAGGTTGGATGGTTCTTTCAGCGCATTTGGAAACAGCGACAAAGCTGGAAGTATTTGGTGAGACATTAAAACTTCTGAAAATTTGAACGAATTTATAAACGTTCTAAAATGAAATATCAATTAAATTCAGGTTGAGTTCATTTGTTATCAAATGTTTCCACCAAGCAAAAGAGTACATTCCAGTTGAAGACAGCAAAATAGCAGCAACGATGAATTGGATAATTGGACTACAAGGCACTGATGGAACGTTTGCAGAGCCTCCCGAGGGTAAAGTTATTCACAAGGATATGCAGGTTGAATGCTAAATCATAATCATTTGTAACGAACGAGTGAGAAACCAAACATGTCTTTTACAGGGAGGATCGTCATCTGGGATTGCCTTGACGGCATACGTTTTGATAGCCTTACTAGAAAACAAAAATAATCCCATGGTTAATTTTTTTATTAATACTCTACTCGACCATTTACTAAAATTTTCATAAACAAACATCAGCTATGTTAATTAAAAAAATTCGTCAACACAGACCAATTCTGCAAGACTGACGTCGGCCATCAACAACGCCAACAAGTATTTGGAGAACAATTTCCATTCGTATTCCAACGATCCCTATGCTCTAGCCATCATTTCATACGCCCTCCACAAGTCTGGAAGCTTAAAGCTGACTGATACTCTGGCACTGCTTGACAAGCTGGCAATCAACAAAGGTCAGTGTTGTAAACATCACACGAACGAACGAATAATGTGTAATGCACTTTATTGATTTGATCTTCCATCGTCTTCAGATGGAGTGACGTACTGGAAGAAAGATGTGATTGAAAGTACCTCTGAAGGCATCTGGAGAGGACCTTATTCGCAAGCCAAGTCATACAATATTGAAATTGCTTCCTACGTCCTCATGGTCTATGCGGAGAAAAAAGACTTTTCAAAATCAATACCGATTGGAAAATGGCTTCTGAAGCAACGGAATGCTTTCGGAGGTTTCGCAAGTACCCAGGTTCACGGTCTTAGATTTCAAACAACTGCTAGAGTCTATAATGAATACACCAAAAAATGTTTTAAAGTTATAATAAAACACTGGCTGATTTTTATTTGCACACGTTACCAAATGGAAATTGCATACAGGACACTGTTCTGGGCTTGGAAGCACTGGCGTCATTTGCACCTTTAATCATTCCATCAAGCGATGGAGCAGGAATTACTGTAACTGTAACAGACGAGAGTGGATCATTCTCCCATACTTTCGACACCGTCACCAGACAAAACGCTCTCTTCCAACAATCCATTCAGGTCTGTGAAGCAAATTTCTTATTAGTATTTGTGTGGCGTTTTTTAATTTTATAAAATTAAATCATTAAAGAATGATTTTTTACGCAATACAAATACGTTTGAAAATCATTAAAAAATATCCAGATTTAAAAACTGTGAACTTATCTTATAATAATCATAGGAGGATTTGTCAATTTAAAGGGATTTTTGTGTTGAATATGATTTTGGCAATCGAAATATTTTTTTAGTACGGAAGTAAAAGTATAAAATTACTGAACTTTAATATAAATTAATATTAAGAAATTATTAAATATTTATCTCCAACTTCTCTTGTTTTTTTATTAAAGCTCCCACAATCAACATCACTTGCCTACGTGTTAGCCAAAGGTGAAGGTGTGGCTCTTGTTCAGGTAAAATTTTATTTTAAAATACTTAAAATATCATCTACAAATTTTTAAATTCTTCGCAAAACTGATTATTGATAAAACTTCATCACAAATTTCATCTCATCTAATAAGTATCTTAATTTCTCGTTTAGAACTTTTATTAACCAACAACTGAACTAAAGTATGAAATTAACATTTAATATAACTTTCTGTAACAGATGAACGTAAATTACAACGTAGAGAATGACAATAAAGATCAGTTTCTAACTCTCGACCTGTCAACCAGATCTTCAAACAATGACCTCAGTTTGAGCGTTTCAACCAGGTAAACATGTTAAACCAAAATTATTTAAAATATTTTTTAAATGATCAAAATAATAAATTGAGTGATATTTAATACTAATCTAATAACTACTTTTGCTAGTGAGACGGGAAAGCGGTTTTGCTAGTAAGAATGAATGAACTAACAAATCTGCTGTAATTGAAACTTTTTATTTGAGTTTTACGACATTTATGTAATTTTATTTTATACATCTTCGGTCAATTTGCAAATTTAACTGTAACGCTTAATGTTCAAGCTGGAGTGGATCTGAAGTGACGGGAATGGTAGTCGTGGAAATAAACATCCTGACTGGTTACTCCTTGCTCGATGATGGAAACTTCATTCAACAGATTGGAAGTACATTCAAGAAGGTTGAGAAGAGCTCAAACAAAGTTGTCATCTACTTGGATGAGGTGCGTCAATAAACTTTTGTAATAGAGATGCGTGATATGATGGGCTCTAGTTTTGTTAATAAGAAATAATGTTTATCGATAAATTAACTTAGAAACCGTATTACTTCAACACAACAGCTCACTTCTCAGCCACTGAAGTTTGACGTCCTACTTCAGGAACAACTGAAGATTGCAAATGTTAAACCGGCTCTCGTTAAAGTGTACCGTTACTACGAACCAGGTAATTTTTAATAAATTTGCTCATTCTAATTTTCAATTTTTTTCATATATCACAATTCAATATCAATTTCGTTATTTTGATTTTACATATCATTTTATTCTTTTCGAATATATTATAATCATGTTGCTGATGCAAGGTAATCAAAAAATATTTAAAAACCACTTCACAGGAACGCCAGTTACAGGATTTTATTCGACAGTTTCAGGACAGACGTGGGAAGGGGCGTGTCCTCAGTGCTGTTGAATACCGCTTCTAATTTATTAGTCGAACGTTTGATGGACATAACTACAATCATTCGATTTCATTCTGATTCCAATATTTTTAAACTTAAAACGATTTTAATGTTCGATTGTTTCTGAAAATTATTTATCATTTTAAGAGTACTTTTTTAAAAATTTATTTCATTATCTGTCGTTTTGGTTTAATAAACTAAAATTTAAAATTTTTTGCAGCAAAACGTTTTCATTGATTAGTGAATGAAATGCGTCATCCTAGATGTGAGTGAAGTCTCACGTAAAAATATAAAATATATATGCCCATATAAAAAGTTAGTAAAAAATATTGGCAAAAATTGTCATCCTGTGGCCGGCCTGTTCGAGCACATAACGTACACCATCTCATACCACGATTACAAGACCAAAGGCGCATTAAAAAAGTTAAAAAGTTCAATTACACTCTTCCAAGGTTCCGAGGATTCAACAAAGAGGACAAACATAGTATATGAATACATACACATCACACACGAAGCATGTGATAGGCGTGGATCTTTTTGTCATATTCGAACCCGGTGATTGCGAAATAGCACCAGACGACCTTAACCAGTAGACCATCACGCCATCTAACCATTGCTAGACGCCTTTTGTCTCTATTGAGACTATTGATGCAATGCAGCAGTCAAATCGGCCCCATACTCTTCTCCTTATCTATCCAGTTTTAAACATACTGACCTTTCGTGTTCAGACTGAAGCAATCATCAAAGTCAACAATCATTATAGCTATTAAATCAAAATATTGAAAATTCTATATTTTACACCGATATCATCATGACTTTTTAAAAGTAATTTTAAAAAATAAAAACAAAGCATTTATATTTTTAAATATTTTCATTTTGATTTTGTAAAACTTCGAAAAAATCAAATAATAAGATTAATTAAAAACAGATCGTTTGAAAAGTAATAAATGAATATAATGCTGAATATAATTTGCAGAAACTTGTCTCGAAAAATTATAGAAAATATTCAATTTGAATGATATACAGCAGTTTTTGTTAATTCAGCATTAACTCCAAATTTTCAAAGAGCAAAATTCTTTTGAATTTCGAAAACAGGATCTAAGCTGTAGGGTAAATTTTTTTAAATTGTATAGTTTGTAGATGTGTGTGCGTGTGAGTGTTTGTGTGCGTGTGAGTGCGTACGCAAATTCAATCTTCTAAATGGTTGTACTAACGGCAGCATTGAGGACAGGCACCTTCCCACGTCTGGCCTGAACTTGAAGAATAAAAACCTGTCACTGAAGAGTCTGAAGGCAAAAAATTATTTGCTTGGCTAGCACTATCAGGTTGAAGTAACTACACTATATAAGCAATTCCACATTCTAAATTGTCATGTCAATTATTACCACAGAATAAAATTGTGCGAGTCCCTGGCTAAAAACAATAGCTATAATAAATTTGTTTTTATATACCTTACAGATGTTGCTTTGTACTTGATGATATTTTTTATATCTTATATAAAAAACCATCAGATCTATCATAGAAGTTGGTGAGCCATTTCAAATCAGTTAAAAAATATACCTGGTCGGTAGTAGCGGTAAACTTTCACAAGAGCTGGTTTCACGTTGGCAATATTCAGAACTTCATCCAGGTGCACATCAAAGTGCACAAATTCGTATGTCAGCTGAAATATGAAACAATTAAAAAGCATTTTTAAATCTTACTTTGAAAATCTAATTTGATTCTGTTGAAACAAAAAACAACTCATTAAAAGTAGAATGTCATCGGAAAGTTATTAAAATATCATAATTATTTAAAGCCTTAAAAAGTACATCTGAAAATGGAGGAAACTATGACACAACGTAACAGTGTATACAACCTCATGAAATTGTTTTCAATTTTTTGGTGGTACAGGTCAGATAGTGATAGCACTTGTAAGAGTTTATTATTTTGAGTTAATTTTGTGAAAGAGTTGTCATATTTCGAAGCTGTTCAATTTTCTTCGAAATTCTCTTCTCATAGTATTGTTTAAATAGCGTAAAAACATGTGAATCAGCGAATCACAAACATTGCATACGATAGGCGAAATCACTTTACATTAAAACACAATAATTGCAACGGCAAGCAGTGCCAGGTACTTCAACCTTAACACCGTCGCGCCTGCCTGCCAACTACGTTTTTTGGCAAAATGTTTAAAATGGAAAAACAGCAGGCTCGAGTTTCTCAGTTCATAAAAGGTTGCGAGGAGAACTAAACGAATAACACTTCCAACCATCAACAAATTGTTTCAAACCTTCTAAACCGATGGACACCCATCAAAAAATATTATAATAACCACTCTGAAAAATTGTTAACAATACAAAAAAAAGAAATAATAAAAAAGCACCTCATCCAAGTAGATGACAACTTTGTTCGAGCTCTTCTCAACCTTCTTGAATGTACTTCCAATCTGTTGGATAAAGTTTCCATCATCGAGCAGGGAGTAACCAGTCAGGATGTTTATTTCCACGACTACCATTCCCGTCACTTCAGATCCACTCCAGCTTGAAACATTCAGAACAATTTTTTAAGCTAAATGCAAATTTTGTGAGCGAAAGTTTAAAACTTACGCCGTGGAAAGACTAAGTTTAAGTTTTTTATCGACAGAGGTTGTAGAAAGATTCAGCGACAGAAACTGATTGCTGTTTTCGTTGTCCACGTTGTATTTCACGATGAGCTATTAAATGAATACGTATAAAGTGTTATTAATTTTCTATCGGGTGTCAATGTTAAAAGGCACGGATTATCTTATTAACTGATTGTTTGACACGTTACAAAATGGACAACGGCTTGATGGGCTACCTGTGCGAGAGCCACTCCTTCACCCACTGCATGAACTTTTACAGATGTCGTGGATTCTGGAAGCTGCAACAAATTGCATATGTAAGTTACACGACAGTCAAAAATTGAAAAATAATTTACTGATTTTCGTTGCGCAATTTTGAAACAATTGAATTTTGTATAAAATATTTTTATTTGACGAACTTGAACTGATTGGAGGAAGAGAGCATTGTGTTTGTTGATGGCATTGAACTGATGGGTGAAAGAGTTGCCACCACCAGCAGTTACAGACACAACGACTCCTGCTCCATCACTTGCTGGGACAATGAGAGGTGCAAATGAAGCCAGTGCTTCTAAGGCCAACACAGTGTCCTGATCAATACAAACTTATGAGTTTCGAATCAAAACCAACGGCATAATTTTAGCACAAACAGCTCATTTGAGCAATAAAAAATTTTCAGCATCTTCAAAATTCGAAGTATGTGTGCCAATACATTTTGCAACCTGTGTTGATGAAAATCCACCAAAGGCATTTCTTTGTTTCAAAAGCCACTTGCCAATCGGCAATGCCTTGTCTAAATCTTTCTTCTGTGCGTAAACCATCAAAGCATAAGAAGCGATTTCAATGCTGTATGATTTGGCTTGAGAGTAAGGTCCTCTCCAAATGTTATCCGACGAACTCTCACTAGCTTTATGCCAATAAGTTAATCCACCTGGAAAATTTATTGGAAAAATTTTACAGATTATTTAAGTTGTCCAAAATATAAAAGTCAATTTTCGATACCTTCGTTGACGGCCAGACTTTCAAGCAGCGATAGAGTTTCCGCTAATTTGTCACTTCCCGATTTGAAAAACGCGTACGAGATTATGGCAAGTGCATATGGGTCTTTGGAGTACAGCTCCATGTTATTTTCTAAAAACGTTGTGGCATTCGTTATTGCATCAGAGAGCTTGCTGGTATCGCTCTGTGATGAGTAGAATTTGTTGATATAAAAACACGATAAAGACACTTTAATGGCAATATTTTATTTTATTTCCTGAACTTACCAATGTTACATTCTTGTTTTCCAGGAGCGCAATAAGAACGTACGCCGTCATAGCCACCCCCGCAGACGATCCACCCTACACAAAATGAGTTGAATTTTTCCATGAACCCAGTGATCCGATTGATTTTGTTGGATGGCAACCTACCTGCATATCTGTGTGAATGACCCTTCCCTCTGGAGGCTCTGCAAACGTTCCATTGTCTGCTTGCAACCCAATAATCCAATCCATCGTTGCTGCTATTTTGCTGTCTTCAACTGGAATGTACTCTTTCGCTTGGTGGAAACATTTGATAACGAATGAACTCAACCTGAAAAATGTTCAATGATAAGAAGATTTCATAAACCTTTACAACTAACGCTGAATTAATTTTTGTACCATACGCTTCCAGATTTATCCTGATTGCCAAACGCGCTGAACGACCCGTCATATCGTTGGTATGTTAATTCTCTCTGGTAACCTGAAATGAGTAGAAATATCTCTTCCGTAACAAATATTCTTGTTATTTTTATTTACCTTACTTGTAGAAATCTAACTGCTGTTAGATATAATCTTATTAATCGATCAAACAGATTGTCAGCACAACTTTCCAGTTCGACTAATGGACTCGGACATTCAGGCATTCAAAAAGATTGCAAATGCAATAATGTAATAAGACATTTTAAACGTATCTACGCCAAATCAGATTTTTGAATTAGTATATAAATTTAGATTTTATAGTAATTGACGACAGGAAACTCACGCATATTTTTTAATGGAAATATGAATTCGTCTATTATTACAAATTAGTAATTTTAAAGTTATTTCCATTGTTTTAACTTTTAACAATTGTGTTAAAGTCATGTTTCAAAAAGTGACCTAAGGTTAAACTCATTGAAAATTAAACTTAAACGTTAAGCAAAACAATGTACGGTATAACATTCAAGGTCCAAACAATAGGCAGCTTTCAAACATAACAAATTAAAGAAAAATTGAATTCTTCAAAAACCTCGCTTATATGTGATATAAAATTTAAATATTTTATAAACTTTGAAAATTTAATGAATTTATTAAACTTTGATGATAAAAAGTTAATAAGAAATCTTGAAAGAATTATGAAAAAATTGAATAATGTTATCACAGCGATCGGTTTTAATAAAATAAGTTTGAATATTATGTATGTATTAATATGTATTTATTATTTATTTGTTCAATACGTATTTATGTTTAACCCATTAATTTAATGTAAAAATGTAAAATTTATTCGCCAGAGTATTTTAAATTGAAAATACCTCAAACCATAACACGCCATTATTACATAACATAATGATAATTCGTTATCCATAGCAAACGTTAATCTATTTTGTTCATGATAAAATTTGATAAAATCTGTTAGCTGATTTGTGCACTGCTACCGGGAATGTGCAAATATGCAAAAGTTCGGCTTTATCAATGGGAAGATTTCGAAAAATCGATTTTAAGATTCATAAACAAATGAATAAACTAACAATTAATAGCTTATGAAGTTGACATAAGCCTGGTATAAACTGTGCTCGTCAAAATAGCCTAAAATGCTGCAATCTTAATATATACAAAGTTGACCAACCGGCGTTTATAAATCCTTTAGCTTTCTGGCTGAACTCCTCAGTGAGCTGATCCGATTCAGTAAGATACTTGAGGAGGTAGACATCAGGCACCAAATTGAGAAGGTTTTGTTCGCCACATCCGTATGGCATTTGCAGAAGGTCGTCAATGTTGTTCAGTGCTGTTCCGATGATATCTCCTGATTGAAAACATATTTTTTGCTCTTATTTAAGCTTATAAAAGCATTTTTCAATTGTTGTTTTCTATCAACAAATTGTTAGTCAATATTTTATACTACATTATTCAAAAATTGGATTATCGTTAAGTAAAACCTATTTACATTAAATTTAGAATATTATTCATAACGTTTAACAAATAGCTGAAAATAATATGAGCTATCACCACTTCTCACTGAAGTCAAAATGGGACGAAATAAATGGCGCCGTAAAACAACTTCTCTTGTTCAATTTTTCAAAAGTTATCAATATTTTCATAATTAAAACAAACTTGAATTAAAATGCTAAAAATCTATTACAATTTTTCTAAATCTCAGAGGTGTCCACGACAAACAAACAGCGAATATGTCCAAGTGCTGAACGACGCACCGCAAACGAGGCATGTGACAGGCTGGAATCTCTTTTTCGGACTAGAGCCCGGTCATTGCACGCACTGCCAAACAAGACCATCAGAACATTACGCACTCCCGTATTTGAATTCGTTTGAATTTAAGCAAATTACAAAACTGCTTGGAGAGTTTGAGTACATTTCACTTTGAAACTTTGATTAAAAATTGTATATACCGAAACAGATTTAGATGAATAAGGCTGAAATTTAAGGTTGGGATGTTTTTGAATTAAGAAAACTTTGTTACTGATCATTTAAAAATGAAAACAGCAGTCAGTATCTGTTGGTTAATCTTTCCAATCATTTATCTTAAAATCCGACAATTTTATATGCAGGTTTTAAAAGTTTTTTAAAAAGAAAATAATTTTTGCAAAGTGTATTTGATACTTACTTTTAGCACATACATCTACAAAATTTAAAATAAGCTTCACCAGATGTTTACGATAAAAAAAAACAAATGAACAAGTGAATAGCTAAACAAATTCCATTCGATTTAATTAAAACTTGGCACTCTAAACTATTTTCTCTTTACTCACCAATGACAGTTACTTCTATAACAACAGATCCAGGAACTAGAACATCTCTTGCAGGCAATGTAACTTGAAACTCAGTATCAAGAGTTTCGTTTGAGGACAGTTGAATGAATTGAGATGTGCTGTAAGATTGGGTTTGTCCTTCAGGCTGGTAATGTTTTGTAACAATTTTCAATTAGAAGAAAGTTAAAAATGAAATATCTGCATTCACCTTAACGAGCAGTGTGGCCTTCATGGCATCAGCAGCCAACCCTGCATGAGCACTGACTTCAATGGGTATTTGACCGAGTGCTGTGGCAACCACCCAGAAGTACACTGACTTACCATCGTTGTTTCTAACCTGAAAGATATTTTTTAACGGCATCATGTATTAAATGTAAAATTTCTTAATTGAAATTACCAACTTTAATTTTCTTTGTGACATCAACAGACTGACTTTCTTTCGTTTCACATTTTATTACTTTAAAATGATTTGAAGCTAATAGTTTAACGTCAGCCTGAATAAAAGTGATATTGTTACATATCAACTCTGAAACGTAATTTTAATCAAGTTGTTAATCACCTCTAGTTCCTGCCCGTAGTAATTGAAAACTGTAACTTGAAGGGCAAATTCTTCCCCTCTTATGATGGAATAGGGCAAATTCAACGAAACAAAGAACGGTTTAATAACGGTTATCTAAAAATTAAGCATCAGATGTTAATGACAATTAAAAAATTAGCATGCTAAGTCATCAAACCTTGGCTGGACTTTCTGACAACCCAAGACCAACATCTTGATTAACAGAAAATCCAGATGCCACCCACGATGTGATGGTGTCTGGAACTTTCACTTTCAGTTGGTAATCTCCATTTGAACTGTGTTGCAATGATGTTTTATATGCCGTATTGTAAAAAGTTTTATGACAAAAATTAAACATTTAAAAATTACTTGGAAATCACTTCACTCCAAATCCATGTTTCAGGAAATTTCTTCCTAACACTAACACTTGGTGATGAAGTCGGCGAGCTTGCTTCACTAAATTCGACTCGATTCATTGCAGAATCTAAAGAATCCACTGGTTAATACAAATATTATAGAACAAAATATTTAAGTATTAACAAATTATTACACCCACTTTGGACAGCCATTGAAGACTGAAAAGCCATAGGTGGACCCGCAAGACCAGGCATGTAATCTGCATAGTGAGTCAGACTACGTAATTAATAAATCAATTTTTAGGAAAGAAAGTGCAGAAAACTATTGATTTGAATTTGTATTTAAAATTTTTAAAAATTTGTAAAGTTCTAAGACATAGGAAAAACTAAAAATCAAAAACTAAAGTATTGGAAGTGTACTCACATCTGGGATACCAATATCTGGGTTCAGGCTTGTAGACATGCAAATTTGTCATAACAAACAACCCAGCTTTCTAGTTAAAATATAGAACGTGTTATTATAAAATAAATGTGATTAAGTTCAGCGCTGGTAACGCCAAAAATGTTTGATTTAATTAGATAAATAACAAAAGTTACCATTAAATAATTTTTAAAATGTGATTAAATTGAATATTTTAAAATAATAAAAATTCAAATTTGTTAAATATGAAAACTAACATCAATGACAGAAGAAGTGTCACTGCCTCCCAGCCAAATGGGCCACCAGCAGCCGATGCTTCGCTTGCGTCTTGCAAATGGAATTGGATGGCGACCACCATGATAGCTAACTTCCAGATAAGAAGACAGTTCATCTTTCACCTAATGCCAATCAAATGCTGCATTTAACATTTCTAATACATCCAAAAGGTTTCACACAAACCATGTCTTGGGTGATATCATTTCCAGCACGGAGGAGCAGCACCGACTGGTCCACAGCCAACAAACTCACAAACGAATTTTGTTTTGTCTTCACGTTCAAATAAACACTCTCATCACCAGGTTCAGTTTGATTTTTGTTGAAACTCAACGAAACCTTAAGAAAAATATTTTTAATTTTTATAATTTATAAAAATAATTTTATAATTTATAAAAATTAAAAATATTTTTCATATCTTACAGAGAAATTTTGATATTTCTTCAGATTCGATTGCATAAAATCTTAAATTCCAAAAAATATAGTTCAACAATAAATTTGGATTAGTGTCATGATTGAAATGAATGCTCTGCTCACACGATTTTTGATAATACTGAAATAAATGCACCATAATCGTATGTTTTCAATGTTTGTACGTTTAATGTTAAGCTTGTTGGTCACCAAATCCAAAAAAATCTGGCTTACAAATAAATTTGCCTCGTATCAATCAACTGAACCAAAAAATAACTGATTGCTCAATATTTGTCAAAATAGCATTTTTTAACTTATGTCTAATCTACAATCATCTATATCAGTTGTGAACGAAAAATTTTTTAATAAAAATGGTAATTTTTTTATATTGTCATCATTGGGAATTCCCATTTTCTAAGAAGTCTCGTAATTCTATATGCTTATGCTGCGGATAAAAATATCCTAAAACAGAAATTTAAAAAAATTATTTCCACCTTGTTTGCGAAATAATCAGCAACTGTTACAGCCATGCTGTCAGCAATGAGTTCTCCGGTAGAGGTAACATAGGACACGACGAACCTGGCTTCGGGGGCCAACTTAATAGCCAGATCAGGCGTTACTTGCACACTGAAAGTGTGCTCTTTTTTGGCGAGCCCTGCATCAATCCTACGATTGGCCAATATGAGACCTTTTGCCAGAACCTTAAATAGTTTATTCCGCGTTTACATTTCAGTTAACTTTTTTCATTGAATATAATAAATTGAAATAAGAAATGTTTATATCTAGTTTTTTGAAAATGAGTAATAATTTTTCAAGAAGTGTACTCAACTAACTTGAAATTGAAACTCTTTGATTTCTTCGATAGATTTTACTTGGAATTGAAGAACGCTGGAAGGCTGTAGTTTATTTTTATCAATAAGTTAATTGAGATAAAATTTAAATTATAAATTCTTACTTTTACAACATTTTCATCATTTTTCAAACTTAATTGAATGCCGCCATTGTCTCTAGTTTTGAATTTGTTGACACTTTTATACGCCGTTATTGTTGAGTTGGATATTTCGTCGAAATAAGATGCCTATAAATTTTAATCATCTAATGTTTTATATTTTAATGCTTTATTAGATGTTTTACAGAAATTGAAAATTACTTCTTGGTTGAAAAACTTCATCTCCAAAAAAAATCTAAAAATTGTTTATAAAAATTTAACCTCCAAATTTATGAGGTCCGTTTCTAACAATGTCTGTAGGCTAAAAACGATGTGACCATTTTCCGTCAAAGGAATTGAAAAGCTAATTTCCGTTTCTGGAGGTCTTGTGTCGTTAACGTAAAAGTTATAGGGGTATGAATTTGTTGATTTGATATGCACGGATTTAAATGTTCCGTCACTGTTTCTAATGTCTTTCAATAATGTTGGACTGCCATCGGAATTCTTCAGCATCAACTGCGTGTTAATTCAAGTTGAACAATATTATTGCAGTTTTCCAATCAAGTGACTTTTAGAATATAACAAGCAAATGTTCGTACATAGCCTTGATATGGTAATCCTGGTTTGTAATTTTCTGGAGAATTCGACAGAAATTCCAAATCAAATCTTTTTGTTTTGGTTTCAATGGTGCTGCTTGCTGACAACGTTATTCCGGTTTCAGTTTCAGTAACATTCGTCTCGAAAGAAAAAGTTCTATAAGCCAACGTAGCCCATGTCCATGAAGCAGGCAACAAAGTTTTTAATTCTGCTACATTGAGTGAAAAATCTCCTTTACCATCTACCAACTGAAAGTTTACAATTTAATGAAACAGAACTAAAACCGGACAATTACAAAAAGTTTTGAACTTTCGTATGGATTTGGAAAAGATTTACAAAACACGTTTTTTTTGAAACAAAATACAAATGAATAACCTGAATAAGTTTAGTAATTCTTGGAAATGATTCACTAGACCACCAATAATGTTGATGCAGTTTAATATCTACGCTCGCCGTGCCTTTCACAGGCTGGCCGTAAGTGTACCTGTCAACATTTTTTTGTTAATCGATTAGTCATTTTTGAGTAAAAATAATAAATCTGAATTTGGAAAAATTATTTAAAAATTTAAAAAAAGAAAGTACTTGGCAACAACTGAGACGGGCAAGTCTTGTTGCATGGGAGGATTGTTCTCATTGTAGAAAAAATAAGAAGGAAGTTCAACTTTAACCTCATATTTAGGCAACACTGAATTAATGAAATAAAATAATGAATTATTTTGGTGAATAAATTAATAATTTTGAATTTATTTAAATTATTTTTTATCAATGAGTCAAAATAACTTGCTGGAAAATAAAAAAAATTAACCGTATTCAGCAACTTGAAAGTTCTTTTCAGTATTGGCTAGCTAGTGAAAAAAAATTGTAACAAAATTTATTTAAAAAACTGAAATGAAAAAAATAAACAAAATTCTTTTAAAATTAAATTCGCAAATTTTTTAATTGTAACAAAATTTATTTAAAAAACTGAAATGAAAAAAATAAACAAAATTCTTTTAAAATTAAATTCGCAAATTTTTTAATTTATTACCACGCCTATATCAGTTTCACAATGTATGATTGTTCGTTTGATTTTATTTATTTGTTTGTCTGAACATCTTATAATATTATAGATAAATCAATAACTTTCCGCAGTACGATTAGGCTGAAATTTTGCATAATTGCCTATTTCCGACGATAACGCAATAATTATTAAATAACATTCTCTCCATTGGTTTCAAAATCTTTGGCTTTACAAAGTATTATATACAATAATTTTACAAAATTGCATATACAAGTATTTTACCAGTTTGATGAATAGAGTATTATTAATTCCATAATTTGTTCTTTCTCTGATAATTCTCATAGGCATCAGCAATCAATACGCTTGTGAATTGAACATGTGAAACCTCATTTGCACCAGCATATATTAGGCGTGGACCTAAATGCCCAACCATTGCAACAAAAAAATCAGATTATTTTAAAGCACTAAAAAAACAAAATTTGGTGTGATAAGTGATAAGCTAATTCACCAGCCTAATTTTTCCCATGTTACCAACCGTAGCTTTTGGTATTTTATTTAATTTTAACTTTCAAATTATCAATGTGGTTTTCAATGTGTCGAACTTTCAAATTTTCAATGTGTCGACGATTGTGGCACAAGAAACGCTATTTTCATGCTTAGTAAACGAGCGATTGAAATGAAGAAAAAATTGTTTATATATTTTATCGATTACTCTAAAGCTTTTGATAGCGTGAAACACGTGGACCTTATGGAAATATTAGAAAATTTGGACACTGATGGAAAAGACACGAGAGTTATCAAAAATCTATATTGGGAACTAAGAACAGCAATAAAAGTTGGTAACAAGATGACTAGTTTTGTTGAAATAAAGAAAGGTGTTAGGCAAGGCTGTGTATTCTCTCCAGGCCTAACAATACAATATCTATACTAAGATCATTATGAGTAAAATAGAAGATCTACCTTGAATATATTGTAGAGGCGTGAATATAAACAATGTAAGGTATGCTGATAATACAGCGCTTATAGAAAATTCAATGGAAAAACTGCAAAAAATCGTTTCCGAACTGGTTTTTTAAAGTGAAAGGAAAGGCTTGCAAATTAACATCAACAAAAGAGAGTGCATGGTTATCAGAAAAAGCAAACCCTCCCCAATCTGCTCCATAATCATTAATGGTAAACAGGTAAAACAAGTCAACAACTTCAATCATCTCGGAAGTCTGATTACCTCAGATTGTAAACGTGATATGAATATCAAAAGAAGGATAGCTATGGCAAAAGATGCATTTCTAAAATGAAAAACATCCTCACCAACAGTAAAACCAGAATATCAACAAAATTTAAACTGTTAGGGTGTTACATTTTTTTCGTGCTAAATTACGGTTCTGAGTCCTGGAAAATTTCTAAAGAAATGAAAAAAGATTAACGCTGCTGAGATGTGGTTTTTGAGAAAAATTATGAAAATTAGTTGGACTTTTCATACTTCGAATGAAGACGTATTAAAACAGTTTGGTTATGAAAAGAGGAAATTACTACTGATAATCCGACGGGAGCAGTTTTTTTGGCCACATCATGCGGAAGGAAAGAATGGGAAATAAATTAACTACTGGAAAGATTGCAAAAAAAAAGAGATCGCGGTCAACAACGAATAACATTTGTGAAGTCCTTGTGCCACTCGTTGAACATCACCACATTTCAACTGCTACAAAATGTTAAAGATCGGATTTTGTGTAGGTCGATGGTTGTCAGTGTCCTGAAAGGTAAGGCACGAGAAAGAAAGAAGGAGAAAATTAATTTTGTCCTAACGTGAAATGTAAATTAGAATTGTTGCAAAATAATTTTTAAATTTTATTCAAAGCAGTTAAACCCGCGATAAATATCAAAATTAGAACTGAAAAACTCCTATTGCAATATAAAGTAAGAACTCCAACGTTGTCTCATAAATTTATTTTAATGAAACTTGTGTTAGATATTGCTCCGAACTTTAGTAAGACAATCATAAAGTAAGACGCAAATTGGTCTGATAAATTAACTCGTGTAATCCCATCTGTCACAAGCATTTCGTTTTTAAAGACTTAATTTTAACACAGATTCATTGGTTATTTTGTTAACAATTTTCCTATATAACATCGTTAATAAATATTACGAATGTTGAAAAACTACAAATGCAATATAATGTTTAAATTTTGAACGCATTCTGGAGCGCATCAATTGTTTACAGATATGTTCGTACTACGGTATCAAATATTAAATTTTTAACAACAAAAATGACCAAATATTTTGAAAAATTATTTTATTTGCACATATTAATGTAATTTCCAAACATCAAAATGTCAATAACTCTGACCGGTATCAAACTTATTATTTATTAGTTTTTATTATTCCTATTATTTTTTGAAAAATATTATATTATTACCAATTGCAACGTTATCATTATACTGAATCAATCATTAATATAGCCTAAGCTTTCATCCAAGCTTTCATCCGGTCAAATAATGTTACTAATGTGTTTTTAATAACGCTTATGAATTAAACAAAGTATTACTGTTGCCAAAAGTAATCTTTCCATCGTGTTTAATGAGATTTCAATATTGGGTAACGAATGAAGAACTTTTGAAAATATTAATAACTAACGAGAGTTTCAGCATGAATCTTCCAATCGCCCAGCGGAGTGATGTCTGACAGCTTTAAACTGCTCGTTATAACACCTTCGAAATAATTTTTTAGAGTTTTGTTGAATTTTAAGTGCATCATTGGCAAGTTAGATTTAAAAATATTCACCGTGGTCACTTTGTTGATCGACGAGTTTCTTTATTTTGTTCTGAGCAGTGTCCTGAAATGAAATTGAGCGTTTTTATTTTAAACTGTTCACAAAATTGTTCCTAATACGGTCAACTGAAAATATAAAATGAAAGCTTACGTAAATGGTTATGTTAATTTTTTCTTTGTACGGTTTTAAATCCGGCGTGATGGCGATGACCCTGAACAAAACTGGAAACAATTTAATTGAAATGAAGTGCGGTCTTAACTATAAACAACAGTTTTCGATCATATTGAATTTGATCAATACATTTGAAATTATCCCAACAGTCACAGACTTTTTTACAATAGCGATCAGTAACAAAATTCATACAAATCGTCTTTTTTTCAAATTATTTGAAACTCAATAACAACCTTAGACGCGTTTGAAAAATGTTATAAATACAAAAAATAAGTAGTCTGATACAGTTGAGGCGTGATAATATCGAGTGAGGGTTTCAAAGGAACAAATATTCAAATAGGAGAATGAACTGAAACAAACTGACCTTCCTGGCCAGGTTTGTACAAAACTTTATCCGTCTGAATGAAAATTGAATGGACCTTCCTATTGATCGTTACAACGTGGCTGTGGCTGAAGTTGGCTCCTTCAGATGCCTTCACAAAAAACGAGTACCTACCATCTGGCACAACGTTTGGAATCTGAAAATGTAAACAGTACCTTGCTTAATTTATTGCTTATTTTAATAATGATAATTAAGGCACCTCTTGCAAAAAAAAAGAATGAAATGTAAAAGAAATAAATACTTAAAGAAAAAGGAATTATATGAAATCATAACGCCAACCTCCAAAGCCAAAACTTCTGTGGTGTCTGCAATAAAACAAAATGTGGTTCAATCAAACCTGACCTAAATATCGCAACTCAGAACTTAAACTTGAAAACCAACCAGTAGTCAGTTGAAACGATTTTTCAACAATGAACGGTTCTGAATTTCTCTGAATGGCAGCATGCAGCACAAAACTAATGTTCTTCTCTCCGTAGGTGGTCACCACAAATTGGTAGGCACTGCCCGGTCGCAACATTTTCGGACCAACGATCGAATAATTCCTGTTAAAATATAGTTGACGAACGATGTGAGTTTGTAGCTGGTCAGTGGAATAATTTAATAACATGAAATATTTAAATAAAGCTGCTCTTAAAATTGTCAATCTAAAAAAGTAAAATCATTTGAATTTAAAAAGATTTTTTTTTTTTTGAAAAATTTAAACAAAAAAGCAATTCAATATTTCTCTAAAAGTAATAATGTTTGGACTGTGATAAAATTGTCATTAAAAAATTAAAGCATAAAATCAAAACAAAAATTAGGTAAAAATTTTGTAAAAATAAACGGAGAACCAACATGCTAGATGCTGTCCCCAAAGCAAAGAGCACCAGGAAGCTGACCAAAAAGTTAACGAGGCCCCATGACGCCATGTTGTCAACTATTTGGAAACTCTCAAAAACACTTCTACATAAAAAAAAATAAAATTTTATTTATTATATGATACAAATTTCAATTTAAACAATTTACAATTAAATTTCTCAATAACACTTAGTAACCAGACAAAATATGTTATTTCGAAATTATTTCACCGCAAAGGCTCGATTAACCAACTCTGAAGATATCTCCCTCAATACGTGTAAGATGAGACAGGCAATTACGAACAACACAAAATAACTTTCACATAGTGTCATCTGCTTTTTATAACCTGTCGGAAAAATGTTTTTCTATATATTCATGCACGCATATCTACATACATAAAAGTATGCACACATCATACACTTCTTACAATTATAGATATATTATTCAACTTATATATGTATATAAATATATTAAAACATTATATATATATATATATATATATATCTTTATACACACACACGCACACATCTTGCTTGATCGCCTGCACGCGTGTGTAGGTCTGTGTGTGTAGGTACATGTACATTCATATAAAAAAATATATAACAACTGAATAGACACACATTGAGCACGTTGATGTGTGCCTGAGGAGGAAGTTCTGAAACACGAGTTACGCCACACGATTTTACGTTTATGTAGTTTATTAGCAAATGAAACGCTTTCACCGTTTACACCGTTAAATATTTCGATAACTGGAACTGTAAACTATCCCAAAACAACTACGTACACAGCCTGAAACATTTCCGGCATGTTATAAAAGTAAATGGATGCCGTGTTTTAAGTTGTGTTTTTAAGTTTATAACTTTTAAATAAATAATGTAATTGTAGGATCTGTTTTCTAAAATGTGTTTTTCAAGTCTCATTTTGCTTCTGAGCAATATTTTTTGTTTTTTTTTTTTTTTATTGCTGATGTCATTATTTTTGTATACAAATTTAAGGTTTACCATACCTAGTGCAAGTATTTGTAGAACATATTGTATTTTAATGGTTATTAAAAAGAATTTCACCAGAATCGTTGGCTCGAAATAAAGTTCAACAAAATAATTCCTTTCAAGTTTGTTTTGAAAACATTTGCTGATGATATTTGTGTGAAATAGATTAAAAATATTTTACATTGTTCTTTGCACAATGCAATTAAAACATTTTGAATCATTTAGCATCTAGTTTTCAATATAAACGTCGAAAATTCGTTAATTGAAAGCAGAGCAAAACATCATTTCAATATAAGTTTGGTCTTGTTGAAAGAAATAATTGTTGTCACATTAACAAACTCAACGATCCCTAATTGCTGATTAGTTTTTAAAAATTAAAAGCCCGTGTGCAATATGTTCTCCATATTTTTATCACAACTTCATTTTGAGGTAGTTCACTTCATTATTTAGTTGATTATTAATGTTAATGTATTTAACCAAGGGGAGCGCAAACCTTTTATCTTTGGAGGGCCGCAAATGAATGTACATTCACCGTTGACCGGGGGGAGGGGAGATTTGTTAAGATGTTCATTTGTGGCTGACGACCTTTTTGGGTCATATTATCTGGTTGGCGGCCTTTTTTGGGTGAATAAAATGCCTACAAGACTTCGCCGGCTGTAGTTTGCCCACCCCTGATCTAACCAACCATTCATATAATGTTGACTAATTTGCACTTTGCAATTCAAATAGACACCAAATTCCTAATAAAAAACAATCAGTTACGCCAGACATAATAATGGAGCATATCCACTGATGAATCTAGAAGGCTCTGCCATCAAACCATAAAAGATAAATTATTTAATGTTATTTTTACGTCAAAATAGATTATTTTCTAAATACATCGTAATATAATATTTTCAAAATGAAACTGTGACGAATCTAGTGGGTATAAACTGGAACCGTTAGAATAAAAAGAAATATAAAAAATGAGGAATTATGCCGAAAAAGGTCATCAAATTTAAAAATCATCCCTTGTCTTAAAATTCTACATCCGCCACTAGGTGTATTCAACGCAATTTTGTGTAAATTAATTTTTAAATTAAAATTTACACTGAAAAATCACACACGCCGATAGCCTACATGTTTTCCTTGTTTCTGAATAAAAATTTCAGTCGTAACTTAGAAAAAATTAATTAACATGTCGGCAGAATTATGAGGCAGTTAACCAGTCTCGTTAACGAGATGAAATAATTAAAACGGACGGCGAATCAACATTTACAGCTAAAAACCTTGAATCAACATGCATATGACGCATTTAAAGCAGGTATTTCCATATAGTATTTACGTTGAAGTGATGAATATACCGTCAAAACATACATTATTACATTATACATTACAGTTGTCCAATGTATGTGAATAAATGAATGATAATATGCACACGTAGCCTATATAAAGACATCCCATGTCTAACGCACATGTAAACAAAATGAATAGATATATTTTTTTACAATGATTTATATATATAAACATTCGCCCGTAACAAAATTTTCTATTGTTTGGTCCCGTTAATGCATTGCTAATCTTGAAACCAATCAACTCACACGTTTTGTCAAATGTACTAACCCGTGCTACACGAGTATTTACATTACTTAATTTTGCATGTTTTAAAGCATGAAAATAATGTTTATTATGAAAAACACGCGATCATACAGTGAAATTTAATGACGCATTTATAACTACAAAGTCCAAATTATTTAAGAAGAATTTGAATGTCAAAATGTTAACGATATATGAAACAATTCGTTCCAAGTAACAAGCGCACAACAATGTGGAATGTTTTGTTCTGAACGTGGGTTGTAAAATTCAGTTTGATGAACTTTGGTTGGAACAAACAAAATATTCAATGTTTTATTTTCATATTTTTAACAAATTCTTCAAAACTATGTATAATAATATATATATTGGAACAACATTTTCTATATAAAAGAAGATATTTCTTTGCCTGAATAATTTAATTTATAATAATAAATTCGTTTTTTAATAATTTAAAACGCGGATAAATGTTCTTTAGCGTGTCTTTTATAATTCAATCAAATATGGAGCAGCTGGGCCAACATATAATTTCAATTTTTTTAAGGTTTAAATGAAAATATGATGCAAAGCACAAAATGTAAGATTTTTTGAGAGCCTAAGTTTTTATCAGGATTCGGAAAATTTTCAATCAAGGAGTCGGCTCCGACACCATGGTTTCAATGCATTTATGTTAAAACCGATGTTTCGGTTTAAAAGAATAACGCCTATTTTACTTGCTTTTCATTTCTCTGCAAATAGATCTGCCAACATAATTTTGAATAAAATGTGATTTCATTTTGTGAATAAAATGGGTTAAAAAAAATAAGTTGCACATGGTTTAAAACTTTAAATTGACTTTTAGTCCATTCAGTGATTGTGCTGAAACAACAAAGATGCCTCCATTCCACAAGCGAGCATGTTTGTGGGCCAACAAATGTTTCAAGCGCTTATAGAGCAGATGCCTTTATTTTAACAAGGTCATTAAATGGTCGCTCATCCGAAAGCCACATTTTCAGGACGATATGTGTAGTTTTCATTTTTCGACTAAACCGTGCCGAATGAATTGCGCGGCGATGCGCGCGAAAAAATTAAACGAAACGTTGAACTTGACGTTTGAAAAGTTTTTTAATTCGCTCACATCAGAGTAACAATGTGTAAACATTTAACAAAAGAACTGGAATAACAATTATTTCAGTGAGATTGTGTGATGAATGCGATTATTAACAGGAAAATCACAAGTATGACTTAAAATTCAAAAATACAATCTAAACAAACGTTAATATCAATCATTTCACATGTGATTTCTGTACAAGATAAACGATAAACATATAAGAAGCAATAGATACAATTAAGTGACTGACAAATTTCATAAAAGATCCCTTAAAAAATAAAATCCTGTAAAACTTGCATTAACGAATTTTATGTCATAATAAATAATTATAATAGATAATAAGATAAACGCAACAGCCTTGGGTTTATAAAAATAAACAATGTTAAAAACAGTATAAAAAATGACTTGGTGGCAACCAAAATGCAGGGAATTCAATCTTAGAACGGAATTAATAATAATGTTTTGATAACGACCATTTATTATCAAATCTTATCAATCGTAGATTATGACAGGATCGACGAATCCACAAGAAATTATTTCATATTCTCAATAAACAATTCTTGTGCAATGAACCGCCACTTAAATGCATTAGTATACTCTAAGAGATCATTTATTTATTCGATGAGGCTAAACCAGCAAAACTAATACAAAACGCTAGATAGCTTAGGAGAGACAGCCAAAAAACAGCATATGCTTATAACACACAAAAACAACTCTACAATAACAAAACACTGTGTCGTGTATCTTTATTTACACGTCTTACCGAATAACGATAACAATTAGCTGAACTTACAATAGGTTTTTGGTACATTCAATTGACTACAGTTAAATCATTAAAATTTTCAAACGCGTAATTAACTTACTAAAATGAAAAATAGAGCAGGATGGAAAATTATACACATACACTGCAAGTAACATATCACATGACTATTAGGACATGAACAAATTTATATCTCACAATAAATTCACATTTCCATCAATGAATATATTTCATAACTATGTATAGAAATATATATATATACATATATATATATATATATATATATATATATATATATATATATATATATATATATATATATATATATATATATATATATATATATATATATATATATATATATATATATATATATATATATATATATATATATATATAAAAGTGTGTGTA